CACTCGTAAGCTATTAGTATTCGACCACAGATGCCTTAGAAATGTTGATCGCATCTGCTGGGATCACCGGGTAAGTTATAGTGAGGTTGGACGAACGGCATTATGGAATGATGGTAAATCAGTTGATGAGGTTGTGACTCATCATCGACTGAGATGGTTGGGCCACGTGCTACATATTCCTGAACACCGATTACCACAATGTGCAATGCTGACTAGTGTTGGGGATGGTTGGAAAAAATTTAGGGGCGGCCAAACCAAAACGTGGCATCAGTGCTTGAAGTCACTAACTTCTAGTCTGAGCCATGTTGGTAGATGCAGACTACTTAGTTGGGGTCCGCCCAACTATCGTAACCAATGGTTGGAGACTCTGAGTGACATGGCTCAGAATCGATCATAATGGCGTCGGTGTTTACACTCTCTGAATTCCCTTAAACTGTTAGACTAAAATTGCTTTATATCTTTCTTTCTATGAACTAATTCTTTCTTCCTATAGTATATGCTTATATGAAATCTTTCTTTTATATATTACCGCCACTGAGTTAACTAAGTCTGAGAATCCGCTGTTCATCTTGTGTTAATGAGGTGTGGCAACTTGAACCGATGCATATATGTTCCTGGTCCTACGTTGTAGCTAACTGACTGACGAACCAGGTTCTACGTTGTGACTGACTGTCTGGCATTTGGAGGTTTAAAGGATTAATATCTGAAGTCAGGTGGTGCACAACGATTTAGTAGGAGCGGTTCTGATCTATTTTTGAACAATCTGCTTTCTCCAGATGAGCTTAAGATAATCGACAACTTTAAGTGGCCTATCATCTGTGCCTCCCAATGATTGTTTACACTGAATAGTAACATTTTGTAAAAGTAATCATGAAGTCTGTTAATATATTTGGATACAGTGATAATAACTGATTTAGTGTCCCGACCTTGAAATATCCAGTTAAATGGCTTGTTTTATGAACTGTCCATTTGTACCAACGTTTTGTTAAGAATAATAAATATAAGTAACTAAATGAAACTAACTTCTTTATTGCACAACGGTATGACTACAACAAATGAGTTATAAGGGAGTAGATAATTTGAATTTTTTTTAAGCGATAAGTTGCTATTTTTGTTGTGTGAATGAATAAGCAATAGTGTGATTTGTGTTTACGCATACATTTCCTACTGTTAATACATCGTGCTACTAATATGACCCATCAGTAGTATGAAGCAGCCTATATATATATATATATATATATATATATATATATATATATATATATATATATATATATATATATATATATATATATATATAAAATCTTATAACATAGTTCTACAGTATGATTAGAAAGGACATGATATTAGAGCTATGGACTTATAAGCAGTGCGAGACCATGAACTACCATGGATCGGGCTCAGAACTTCATAAGTGATTAATAAGCTTAACACAATAAATAACACAACAATACATACTACTAAATCCTTTGAATCTGAAATACAGTCAGTTTCTCCAGTTGAATGTTTTTCCTCAATTCTACAATCTTTTGGACTTGTAGAAGACCAGGATTTTGTAAATGATTCCGAATTTGTGTAAAGTTTATCATCAATAATCCTATGATCATTAGCTTTTTGAACATCAAATTGATTTTCAAGTACCTAGGAAAACAGAAATATTTCTTAAGTAAAGTAATCTATTCAATAAAGCAAATATAAAAACGTTGATCTTACGATCTTTCTAACAGAACTAACAATAAAGAGAAAGAATGTTGTGAATCATTATCACAACAGACGAACGTATCAGATGATAAACGTAATGTTATTTGAAAGATGTTGTTGGAATACGATTTTTTGTTTAGTGAGTACAATAACCAACGTATATTGTATGCAATTGTCACTACATTGACTATAGAGTGATTATGTGAAAATAAGTGACTCATTTGTCACATTCAGGTTTATTTGTTTAGCTATTATCAAAAATATTTGTGTAAAGGTTTAAAAATACTATATCCCCCCCCAGAACTTAAAAGTCCTGGATTTGGTCTCATGTGAGGTTATCGGTGTGTACTGATGGTGATTTCCGAAGGCGGAACAAAAAGCTTTTCAGTGTTTTCTCAGATCACTTCGTGATAAAAACCATCCATAAATATAAATACACAAATTAATTGGAAATAAAGGATGATTCATAAAGAAGCCTTGTTATTATTAGCTTCATTTTCATCAGTTCCCTCTATAACAGGAGATTGGAAAGCTAAGCCATTATATTTTCTGAAATTAGAACCATTTGGTTTAATAGCGAACATGATATCGCAATATAGGGGACAGCCAGTCAGTTATGGCCAAAATACGACCGGACACAAATGTGTATGAGTGAATAAGTCGTTACACTTAACATCGCACATCGAGAAAGTAGATTAGTCAGATGAAAATGAAAAGAAAGCAATATAATGCCAACCGAAATTTATTTATTTATTATTTATTTCAACACATAAATATTGGAACAAGAGAGCGCCAATACATATGCGCCACACAAAACAATGAGAATTCGAAGAGAAAAGTGAAAAAAAGGTAAGGAGCGCAAGAAAAAAAAGAGAACAATAACGAAGAGATCGGTGTAAGGTAGTGTAGCAATAATAATAATAATGGGGGGAACGAAAAGGTATAACCAGAAGAATTGTTTCAGTTAAGGAAGATACAACCACTTTATATATATAGCCTTTTACTAACCTACTTTATGACAGACAACATTGTGCATCAGATTAATTAGATACTACGGGTTCAAATTTATTACTTAATCTTCACTGAATTATCCCCCAAATGCCCTTGTACGGCCGAAGGTGGTGAGGGCCCGCTCTCCTTCTCTAAATGTTATCATATGGCTACGTTTATGTAGCCATTGCCAGGGAAGTCCTACTCACTACCCCTCTCGTGGTGGGGGGATGAAAAATGAAAGGCGAAAACTTAAACAGGGTTGTTGAGTACGGAATATAGACCTATGGAAGTTGGAACGCCCAATGGTGAATATAGGCTGCATGGTCCTGAAGGATCAAGTGAAGTATGAACCTATTCTTGGTTACCTGCTACTATGACATCAGACCTTCTAGCGTTGCTCCTCTGACTTGTGGATCGAGCTTCTAGGCAAAAGTTTCAGAGTGACCATATAGAAAAACCACCTACTTCGGTCTTGACATTCAGACAGTTTCCTTGCCCAAATATAAACTTGAAGATAATTACGACTAAAAAAATACTCTTGCTTCAATTTGCGTCCCTGGAAACCATATTCACAAGTTTTTGGTAACATTCATTTTTGTTTTACAGTGAGCCACTTGTCTATTCCCCTTAATTCCCATTTTGTGTACTCCTTTATTATTCTGCTTATACAGCACCTCGCCTATAATGGAATTTCTGTACTTTTACATTGTCTCAAGTCACTGACCGATCAAAAGTTGAATGCTACCCTGTGACATCTTCGTCTGGTCTTGCTGGCGTTGGTGTCGCACTAAGCGCTAGAGCTGAGGCAGCACTAATCGATTGGATCTCCATTAACAGTCGGTTATGTGCTGTTAGATTAGATTAGATTAGAAAGTTCCATCAAAGTGAGGAGAAATCGGCGTAAGAAACGATGTCTTTTCGTCATCTCCGCCTATGCCCCGACAGGTTGCAGCCCGGACGCAACCAAGGATGAATTCTACAACCAATTAACTGTTCTTCTCCAGAAAGTGCGTTCGACAGACATTGTAATACTAGCCGGAGACTTGAATGCTCAGGTCGGGCGTCTAGGCACAGAAGAGAGTCGTTTAGGTGGCTGACGGGGACTTGTTAGTCGCAGGACAGATAACGGAAACCGTCTACTGCAACTGTGCACAGACCACAACCTGTTTCTGGCTAGCACTAAATTTCGGCACAGTCATCGACGATGTGCCACCTGGCGTTCTCCCTCTGCATCTCAAGCCTGAACTCAGATTGATCACATCGCGATCAGCTACCGCTGGCGTGGTTGTGTACAAGACTGCCGCTCCTTTTGGAGTGGCTATCTGGACCCAGACCATGTCCTGGTCTGCGCCAATCTTACCTTACTTTTTAGTGGACAACGAAGTGACCGCCACCAACGGATTGATGTTAGCAAGCTGGTTGCAACTTCTGTTGCTAGTAAGTATCGAACCGGGCTAGCTCCTAGGCTTAGTTACAAAGGTTTGGGAGCTAGAGAGTGTTCCAACATCATGGAATGGATTGATAGTTGCCCCTATTTTTAAAAAGGTCTTGGAGGGTGGGCAGAATTTTTCGAAGGGCAGTTCAACTGGCCTGCTGCTCCGGCAACATCGGTCAGGCTGTCCTGCCCTCCATGGCCGGTGACGACTGATCCATCAAACGAGGAGGAAATCCGCAAGGAACTCCAACTCTTGAGGCGTTACAAATCACCTGGCCCAGATGAGTTACCTCCGGCTCTTTTTAAAGATGATGGTGACTTTTTGACTAAGGAATTGACGACGTTGTTTACAAAGGTTTGGGAGTTCGAGAGTGTACCAACGTCATGGAATGAGTCGATAGTTGTCCCTATCTTTAAAAAGGGTTCACGTCGTCCCTGTAACAACTATCGGGGGATAAGTCTACTTCCGATTGCGTCCAAGCTATTGGCTTCCGTCATACTTCGTGGGTTGTTCAAAACCCGAGAAAGATTGACTCGCGAGGAGCAGGCTGGGTTTCGTTCTGGTCGAGGATGTAATGATCATATCTTCACCTTCCGCCAAATGTTAGAACACAGCCATACTTCTCAAAAGGCCAACAATCGTAGTGTTTCTTGACATCAGGGGTGCCTTCGTTTCGGCGGATAGGACTGTTCTCTGGGATTGTCTATTAAAGAAGGGTGTGCCTGAGAAGTTTATCAACATCCTAAAAGCCCTATATACAAACACCTCAGGTAGAGTGAAGCCATACAACCACCTCTCTCCATTGTTCCATTCGAGCAGTGGGGTTAGGCAGGGTTGCCCAATCTCACCATTCCTCTTCAACTTTGCCATCGACGACATTCTGGAAACAGCTCTGATGGATGTAAGTAATGGCGGTGTGGATCTGTTGCCTGGAGAAAGACTTCTCGACCTTGAGTATGTGGATGATATTGTCTTACTGTGTGATAATGCCCAAGGCATGCAATCCATACTTAATCAGTTGGCAATCAGTGTCCGTAAGTATGGGTATGTGCTTTGCACCTTCGAAGTGCAAAGTACTTCTACAAGACTGGCAGGATTATAATCCTGTACTCACCCTGGATGGTGAGCAGATAGAAGTAGTCGAGAAGTTCGTGTATCTAGGTCGCTGCATAAGTGCTGGTGGGAGTGGGAGTGATGAGATCAATGCACGTATAGTGAAAGTCAGAGTGGCTTATGCCAACCTGGGCCACCTTTGGCGCCTTCGTGATGTTAGTCTGGCTGTAAAAGGTCGGATCTACAACGCGTCGGTGAGAGCAGTTTTCCTCTATGCTTGTGAAACCTGGCCTCTCCGAGTTGATGACGTTAGACGACTCTCTGTGTTCGATCATCGCTGTCTCCGAAGGATTGCTGACATTCAGTGGCAACACCATGTCAGTAATGCAGAGGTTCGGCATCGTGTGTTCGGGCACAGAGATGATAATGCAATCGATGTCACCATCTTGAAACACCGACTTCGGTGACTTGGACATGTTCTACGAATGTCGTCCCAGAGAATTCCACGTCGTGCATTATTTGCCGACTCTGGGACTGGTTGGAAAAAGCGGAGAGGTGGTCAGTGTATGACATGGTGTCGTGGCATGGAAGAAATCTCCAAAGGACTGGCTTCTGTTGGTCCTTCACGACTCCCTGGTTGGGGTCCTAGAGATGGTGCAACACAGTGGAGATTTGTAGCTCAGGTGGATGATCAGCTCAGAGGACAAAACTCCACCAAATGGTGCAACACAGTGGCTAGAGACGTTATCAGATATGGCTCAGAACAGAAGCCAGTGGCGATCCTGCTGTAACCTTCTTTTACTTTCTCCATAAAAAGTGGTTGTATCTTCCTTAACTGAAACAATTCTTCTGGTTGTACCTTTTCGTTCCCCCCATTATTATTATTATTACTACACTACCTTACACTAATCTGTGGTTGTTATTGTGTTTTTTTCTTATGCGCACCTTACCTTCTTTTTTCTCTTCCCATTCTGAATGTTTTGTGTGGCGCATGTATATTTGGTGCCCCCTTGTACCAATATTTATGTGTTCAAATAAATAATAAACAATAACGTCTGCTGTCTATCTGAGATCAACATCTAAGACCCCAGTGAAGTGCTGAGTACTCACTCTCCATCCGTCAACTAGAAATGCTTGCTCCGCATACCTTTATTCAGGGACTTTGTGGCATCTTCATCTATTCTTGATGGCGCTGATGTTGCTCAGACAGCACCAATTGATTAGATTCCCACTCACAGTTGATTATGTGCTCTTAAATTAGGAAGCTCCATCAAAGTGAGAAGAAATCGGTATAAGTAGCGATGTCTTTTCGCCAGCAGCTGAATCTGATGACCGTCGGAAACTCTCCTAACCCATCAAAACTACTGGCAGCAAATCCTGGTGTGAGTAATATAGTTTGTGAAGTTGATGGCAAGGAAATCAATAGCATCCACCAACGTGTTGAACGATGAACAGTTCAGCTTATCTGCTACCATAGCAACATCAATCAGACTACCGTTTATGGCCGGTGACGACTGATTTACTTGATGAACAGGGAGTTCACAAGAGGCTGCAAATCGCCAGTCCCAGTTGACTTACTCTCGGGATATTTTATGGATGTTTGGGAACTTCTGTCCAAACAACTGACTGGGTTGTTTGGAAGTTTGGTAATTAGTGTTCAAACATCCTGGAAGGGACCTATAGTTATCCTCATCTTTCAAAACAGAGATTACGTTGCCGACTCAACGATTACAGGAGGACAAATCTACTTTCGACTGCGTTCAAACTACTTGCGTTTTGTGATAATCGACAGATTTAAATCCACTAAAGACTAACTTGTGGGGAGCAAGCGAATCTTTATTCTAGTCATGAATATACTGATCATATCTTCACCCCTAACCAAATTGTATAGTGATCCGTATATCACATTATCATATTATTCAAAATGATTGTTGTGATTGTCGAAAGAGGATTTTTATCCTTATAGACTGAAACAATAAGTGATTGGGACCAGTCAGGTGAGATTGCAACAAGTCCAAAGATTCCAGCTAACACTTCAATCAATCTAACTTCTAACGCTGGACCATTATTTTTAAAGATATATTTATAGGCTAGATTTTAATCTTACTGAGGTCTAACAATATCATTTGGTCGACCTGATATGTTTTAAAAAGTGAACTATTTGACATCAAATTTAAAGGGAATCCATAAAAAATGAGGGTAGAATCCCAAAGGATTCAGTGGGTAACTAATACAGCTACCGGACTGACCATGGGGTGTTAAGTAAAAGACCATCGTATTGAACAACAAAAATTTTCAAGAAAATTTACTTTGAAAAACTCACTGAACACAAGGCAGTAGTTGAATCAGCATCGTGAACTTGCATTTCAGAATTATTTTCACATACTGGATTTAGTTTAGGGGAATGAGAGCAGTTATCTTTTTCGGAGCTGACAATCTCACTTTTGTTACTAGGATGACGAACTAATTCAACCGGATCAAGTTTCATTGTTCCACTTAGAATGGCTTTTATTTGGTCGATTGACAAATCATTCAGCTCCTGAATACATCTATGCCACAACTCCGAAATCCCAAGTTGGTAGTCACTTCCGTCAAAAGATACATAGGGTTGGACAACACATGAAACCTTGGGGTTCTTACCAGATGAATGTTTCATATCCCTACGTTCTCGTCGAGCACATATTGACAGTAAATTAGCAGACACTAGATCTTTGAGCTTAGATGGACCGATAGAAATCCAAGCTTCAGAAAGAAGCTGATAATGATCGTCAACAAAATGATCGAGCTGAAAAATTGGCCTTTCTTTGTGACAAAGGCTTAAACCGGAACGAAGGTTCTCAATGCTGTTACGTAATGTCAGGATCTCGTCTTCACAATTATATGGACATCCACAAGATGTCAATTTATTCTTATGCTTTTCAGAACGATTACGCTTCTTATCAGCATCAACCATATTGCACACTTTTTGAGTAAGATTGAGTATTTTATCTTTTTGACGGCTATTCGATGCATTCCGATTGACTGATTTTCTTTTGACTTTCTTACGATGTGAACGACTGTGGGGTTTTGTGTGATATGTTTTACGCTTTTCATTTGATGAACTTGAAGAGCTGTAGCGAGAGTGAGAACGACCCATCATTTAATATAATAAGTACTCTAAAATTAACTTTAGAAGAGTATGACAAGTTTACATTAGTTCCTTTTAGATAAAATGGTGCATAAAATAACTGAAACAATAATAATAGTTCACGGGATGACATATTAGATACGTACTTGGTAATCCTAGGCTCAATTCTCGAGAGTGTACTTCATTTAGATGTAATCATATAAATGTGGCGCATATATATATGGTGCCCTCTTGTACCAATATTTGCGTTCAAATAAAATAATAAAATAGAATCATATAAGACGTAAAGGAAATGATAGAGGCAACACTGAACAACTTAAAACTTTTATGTTTTATTCCCCGTAGTTAGTTTCGATCATTCGCAATGTAGAACCTAGTACATATGTACATCGGTTCAAGTTGCCATACTCCATTAGCACAGAGAGATGAAATTGTCAGGCCAAATTCCAGAATTGTTGAGGTAGTAAAAGTACCAGAAACAATAGAAAAGATTAGGTACCAAAGATACAATTGGAGAAAATTTAAATTAGTGAAACAGAAACACACACAAAGTTATGAGAAGTTAGAGAGCTTAGAATCTGGGGTAGAGACAAAAGTGGATGCACCTGAGCCATTCCAAACGATTTTAAGCTGTGTCATTTAAAGTCTTTAATCATTGGTCACGATGATTACGCGGACCCGATCAGGTAGTCGACAACTATTAATATGGCTGTCAAATTGTGAATGACTCTATGGACGTATGCCGTGTCTTTATTGGGCCACCCCTAGCTTTATTCTAGAAGAATTCGGAAATCTTGACACTTAAGTTTTTACAAGGTGTATTACGTATTATCGGTCAAAAGAGTTGTACATTATTTTTTGAGAAGACAAATACTCAGTAACAAAAGATAAATGGTCCTCTTCTTATTGTGCGTATGTACTAAGAAATTCGGGTGTTTGTTCCTTGTTTACTGTTAGGCTACACTATGCTTGCATAAGTTTTTAGGCTACAGCCTGGTCACTACCTTGCTAAGTGTAGAATACAAGGACAGAAGCAACTGGATTCTTCCAAACGACAACGATATGTGATGTCAGATGAAGCAGAGATCAGTCAGTCATCATCAACGAAGAGCCCGGCACAAATACGCACCGGCCCCAGTTGCTATACCATAATATTAACTGTCTGATAGTGTGCTGTAACGACATCAAACAAAGGTCACCTGTCATGATTATTAATACTTCCACTTCAGCCTGTGATAAAAGAGCATACTGACCCATACCAGTTTGCATACAGGCGCAAAAGAAGCACTTTATATGCTGTTGCAGTTCTGCATCACAACATAGTGTTCAACTTAGAAAAGAGTAAGAAGTATGTTCGATGTGCTTTTCTGGACTATACTTCAGCTTTTGACTCTATACCAAGACAACGTTTACTTAACAAGTTAATCAGCATCAACACTGACAGCTGGATAACCAACTGGCTATGTTCCTACCTCTCTGGAAGGGAACAGTATACTGTGTTTGGAGGAAAGAGTTCAGAGTCTCTACTGTCTCATGAAGGTGTACCACAAGGAGCTGTTCTTTCACCTCTTCTATTCTCCTTTTTTCTGCATGCACTGCCATCTTCCACAGAAAACACTTTTGTGAAGTATGCGGATGATCTCACTGTATGTATGCCTATATCTTCCTCTTTACATCCCATAGAAATGAATGAGTTTTTGTCTCGTATTGATTGTTGGACTGTTGGTAATGGTCTCATACTTAATCCGTCTAAATGTCAAGCTGTTAACTTTAGCATGAGACATGAACGGAATCTAAACACCATTTTGAGATCCCATAGTGCTTGTACCATCGGAGACTCTTTGATAAACTCAGTGTCGAAGGTCAATTATCTTAGTGTCACCTTTTCCTCTGATCTGTCTTGGTCTTCCCACGTTTTATCGTTATCGAAGATCTTCCGTCTGACCTACTACATAAAGAGATTGCATGCTCTTGGAATTACTCGTCATTTACTCTTACAATTTGTCAATTCTTGCATATTACCTATTATTCTTTACTGTTCTCCATTATTCTTTCACGGGCTTTTGAGAAAAGACTTTGCTGTATTGCGAAAAGTGCTGAAGCCAGTTAGCAAGGTGTGTGGTGAATCTTTCGAGGTCATAATTAATATGGTTGTGGATAGACATTTAAAATCATGCAAACTCCTGGCAGGTGTCATTTTATCAGATAGTAACTATCCCCTTCACTCTTATCTTTCTCCTTGTATATCTTCTGGTAGAACGAGACGTAATTACATTAAAATCCATGCACGCAAGGAAAAGTATAAAATTTCTATAATACCTTACCTAGCAAATATACTCTGTGATGAAAAGGTTGTTAGCATTAACCTAGTCAATAACTTACATTCTTAACATGTCTTTAATTTTAAAAAGTTTGTACAGTTTTTTTGGTTTTTTTTATTTTATTTTTTTTAAAA